TGTTTCTGCTGCTGGATTAACTCTTGGATCTTACTCATCTGGCTGCTGAACTGCTCCCTTTTCAGGAATATAGATACCATCCAAAAATTTTCTGATATCCTTGTTTTTGACTGTTGTGGCTTGCTGAATCAAAGCAGCTGAATTTGAAACAAGCTCAATGTCATTTCCTTCAAGGATTAGTTCATCTTTCTGGGCTTGAGATACTGAGCAAGCAACACCTGCCCTCATATGAACTCGGCGAATGTATTTTTCACCCAAGAAATTCCGAATTTCAACGAGAGACCCATTCTCCTGAATAACAACGTTGATGGGGAAGTGAGCATACACAGACCTCATCTTGTAACGGAAGCACAGTGTAACCCCCTTGATCATGTTCTGTACATTGCTACAGATCGTGCGGACAGTTGCCAACTCCTTTCTGTTTCCCCACCATTTGTCAACTCGGAGCCTCTTCTTTTTCTTCCCAAGGAGACTGAGTTCCACATTGATGTGGTTGAAGTCCCTCCGGAGGGTTCCTCTGGGGCCCTTCACAATAACTGTGCATCCTTTCAGAGTGATGTCGACATTTTCTGGAATGTCAACTGTCTGATTGCTAAGAATGGTCTTCATTCTTGCGGGAGATGCGGCAAAGCTGTTTTCTTCTCATGATGACAAATTATACATACACTTTGAACCTTAATTCTCAAGGGTAACTCTCTTAAGACATTCAGGCTAAAAAGAAAACTGTGGACTGAGATGTCAAAGATCTGAGTATGAACGAAACTGAGTTTTCAAGCTGGCCTTGGAAAAGGTAGCTCTAAGGACAAGAGAATTGAAACATTCCTTTCCCTCCGCGCGTTGGTGCTGACTCCATGTAAGAAGGGAAGTAGTCAGTGGAGGGTGCGTCAGGTTGGTCCATCCTGAGAGAATCACTTGTGACTGCCCTATTGTCATGGGGTTTGTGTTCTGCAGTCCCCTAGAAGGGATTTCTAGTTGGTCAAACAAGCATTAGTGGTAGTAAAGTTTCATGTTTATTAAAGGTAAGAAGAATCAGGCTCTGCAGAGTGAGCTCAGGTAAAGTAAAAGTAGGAAAAAAGGAAAAGAATTTAAAGTATAGTGGACAGGATAGGAAGGGCCACTGCAAAGAGACATGATCTCAAGCATGTAATAGTGACTGTCCCTTTTTCTATCCCATGCTGTCCAGGCAATCCTATCAAAACCTGCTCGAGATCTTGTGAGAAGTCCATGCACTTGCGTGACCTGGGATTTCGCAATCCCACCAGGACACACCTACTTTCCCAGGCAGTTGCAGATACACCCTGCCTTTCCGGCCTTGCTGGGACCCAAGCACCATGACAGGGAACTCTTGTATGGGAGTGGCAGGGAAGCCCTCTAGCTGGCAGGAGCCCAGGCTCAAGAATCAGCACAGTGATAATATCTCTAACTCTTCCCTTCTGGGAAACACTTAGATTACTTTAAAAAGCACTAAGGTAGGATCAGGGGGTAGGGTATGGACAAGGAAGATACTAGAGACAAAGGGCCATATTAACTTCTACCAATTTGGTTGAAACCCAAGAAACTAGTTTCTTTTTTTTTTTCCAAACCAGTAATAAATTTCCTGGTACCTTTTCAGGTTACTTATGTTATCAGGGCTTTAGGGCAAAGGCCTCAGTTCTGGAAGTTCTAAGACTGGGCTCAGCTCCCCATCCTAAAACAGGGTGCAGAGGAATGATGAGGCACGGAAAAGGAGCTAGAGTCAGTGTGGCCAGTGGGAAGAACAGGTAAAGGTTTTCAAGGTCTGTTTTCTAGGGGCTGACAGAGCCTTACGGTTTAACTGAGAAGGAAAACAAAGGCAAGGATGGGGCTGCATGCCTGGCAGTACCACTATGGAGCAGTAGGTTATTCTGGCTAAGAGTGGCCTGGCTGAGGAATACGTGTGGCTCTGGGAGAGCCCTCACTGGGGGAGGGAGCGTTTGGATCCCACTGTGGGAACAGCCCTGCTCAGCTGGGCAACTGTGGGTTCCCATGTGGACAACTGCTCTCTCTCAGGGGTGATATGATCTGCAAGACTCACTTGTTTCAGTCCCTCGTCCTGACAGATGTCTATTAAGCAGACCTGTCATTCCTGGAATGAGAGGACTGGAAAGAGAGTGGCTCCAAAGAAAAGGTAAGAGACAAATATCAGAAAGAAACCAAATGGACTTACTTAGTGTATCAGTCAGTGCTTACTAGAGAAAAATATAATACAAGACATACTGTACAAATACATCAGAATTTGCAAGACTGGCTTACCATGGCTGCCACAAAGTTAGGTGTGGAAGGGCGCAAGAGGTCTGAAGTACAGGGGGGATCTCAAGGGTCCAGCTGAAGGCCTGTAGCTTGGTGCAGTGCCCTGTGTGAGTCCATCTCAGGAGGCCACAGGGTTCTACACCAAAAGGCAGAAAGGTCAGTGCTGGAGGCTGAAGAGTCTGCACTGGAAGGTAGGAGACGATGTCCAAGGTGAAATCGAAGCCTGGAGCTCCTCTGAAGACAGAAGCGATCCTTCCTTCTGTTCCGCTGCTTTAGCATTCTGGTGATATCCTCCCTACGGTTCCATACCATGGAACAGAGCTATGCTGAGCCTATTTAGTTAGGGATTACTCAAGCTGACTCAATCAAACAACTATCACAATTAGGGTACTGCCTGGGCTCCCTGTCACACTCTGTGTCACAGATGCCAGGGGTGGCACAGTACTTAAAGACAGTCAGGAATCAGACTCACTTTCCCCTCAGCTTTTCCCCAGTATTAACTCCGGCAAATGAGACACAGCACTCAGTAGGTATAATCCACTCTGACCGCTAGCTGAGAAAAACATGATCATGATACAGAGGCCAGATCACATTCTTGGCAGTGCTCACAATGCGCATGCTCACACGTAGATGCACGCTAAGGCCCCAGGTCTGGGTGAACAGAATCACGGCTAAGGGAAAGAGGAGATAGTGTAGCAATCTAAGCACCTGCCTCAAGGATCCTGGTTCAAACCCCATTACCACATGCTGTGCAAGCCCCGTAACCCCAGGCAGGCCATGCTATCACCAAAACCAGGAGTGGTGGCGCAAGTCTGTAATCCCAGTGCTGGGAAGGCTGAGCCAGGAGCATCACTGTGAGTCTCAGCTGCATAGTGAAACCCTGTACCAAATATATATATATA